TATTTTCAAAATATATTTATATATAATATAGTTAAAGTTAACATCTAACGGTGTTTATTAGTATTTGTTTTAAGTACTCTTGTCGGGTAGAGATGGCCGAAACCTTGAGATGGCATTAATAAAAATGAAAAGAAACTTCAGAAGCTTGTTTTATTATATTTAATTAATCTAGGATATTTCAATTAATTAATATTATATATATATATAGGCCTAATATTATAGCTTTTATTTTAAATATATAGAATTGAAATAAAATTAGAATATATTATTTTATAAGAAATATATATAAAAAAAGGTATGTTTTTCTGTTTTTTTTTTAAATAGGCGTAATAAATTAAAGATTAATACAAAACAATAAAAGCAAAATTAAAGATTATATATAAAGAAATATAAAATTTTTATACATTTTATTTTAAAACAATTTTTAATACGAAGTCGTATACTAAGAGTTAATAGAATAAAAAGGAAATCTTAGAAAGTAGAAAAACCTCAAATTTTGTCTCCAGAATGACAAGTAGATATGAAAGCAAACGACACAAACTATCCATCATGAGGACAATTTATTTGATTGTTGTCACACAGGGTACAAGGTCGTTTAATAACCCACTGTCAATTTACCCTGTCTCAAAGATTCCTCGTCAAATTAACCTTTTTACATTTGAACTCATCGTGATTTATCTTGGGGATTATTTGATAGAATCTTCATTCATTTTTTCATATCAATATTTTGTTAATTAAATTGAAAGAATTCTTTATGTTTTATCTCTTAAAATATCTTTTCAAAATATCAAATTAATGGGATTACTTTAGAAATCTTGTTACATTTTGAAAATATTTGAAATTTAATATCTTATTAAAAGAATATAAATATTTTTAAAAATTTTTAAAGTAAAGCTTTTAAAGTATTTTAAATAGTAAATAGCTATTTAATAGTGTTTTGGACATTTTGGACATTGCTGCTGCTGTGATAGAGATGCATGGAGACATCTGAGGCTCTTCATTGGACACGACAACAACAACAACAGAAAATTGACATGGACCCAGAGAGCAGATTTACACACCCAAGATAGAGGACATTGCGACTGTTGTAATAGAGATGCATGAAGATATCTGAGGCTCTTCATTGAACACGACAACAACAACAACAGAAAATTGACATGAATCCAGAACAGCAGCTTTACACACCCAAGATAGAGGACATTAAGACTGCTGTGATAGGGATGTATGGAGACATCTGAGTCTCTTCATTGGACACGACAACAACAACAGAATATTGACATGGACCCAGAAAAACAGCTTTACACACCTAAGATAGAGGACATTGCGACTGCTGTGATAGAGATGTATGGAGATATCTGAGGCTCTTCATTGAACACGACAACAATAACAGAAAATTGACAATGGACCCATAACAGCAGCTTTACACACCCAAGATAGAGGACATTGCGACTGCTGTGATAGAGATGCATGGAGACATCTGAGGCTCTTCATTGAACACGACAGCAATAACAGAAAATTGACATGGACCCATAACAGCAGCTTTACACACCCAAGATAGAGGACATAGAGATGCATGGAGACATCTGTTCATTGGACACCACAACAACAACAAGAGTTTTAATTATTTCTATTAAATATTTATCCTTCTCATGTTCGCTGATCAAATAAATATACGTTTTTCTTTCCACAGTTAAAGCACCAAAATATGAAACTTTTTGATTTCTTAATTATTTATAGATTTTATATATAATATTATCTAAACATTTATAAAAATTAATTCATAATTGATTGTAATAAATAGAAAAAAGAAATAGATTACAAGATAATTAGAGCATCAAATTTTTATAGCAATAATTACAGATCTGACCAGAAAAAGAAATGTGCCTGTCTTTGTTTTTCGATATTTTTTCATCTTAAAAATATAATAGAGAATTTTTATAGCTTTAATTTCAATTAAAATAAAATTCAAATTTAAAAAGGCTATACGTTATTACCAATTTATATGTTTTATATTAAAAGATATGCTCCTGTGAAAGTTCTCTGGAATTATACCACTTTGTCAATTGCTCTTTTAGATTCCTTCAATATTTAGCGAAATCGCTGAGAGGGTTTGTTGTAATTGTTAAGTGTTATCTGAATAAAAAAAAAAAAGACTCGTTCTAGCTTCACAAGTTGAACTGAATGTTTATTTAATCCAGTAATCTCCTTTTATACAAGATAGAGATAAAAAGGAAATAGTTTACATAAGTTTAAAACAATTGACAAATGGCATGATTTTACACATAGTCAATAATAGATAATAAATATAATACGTAACATTATCATATGTTATTTAACATATCACAACAGGGTTAACCACCGATGAGCGAAACCCTCTCATTCAATAACTATTATCATTGCAGTAAGGTCTGTACCGATAAAAAAAAAGAAACACATTACCAAAAAAAAAAAAAAATAATTATTGCATATTTTATTGGTAGAATATATTAATAGAATATATTATATATTAGAATATATTAATAGATTTCTTCAATTATTAAATGTATTCTATTGTACGAAAATTTGCAAAAATATCCATTATTTACACTACAATAATGAGATAAATGTAATATTATTGCCACGTGGAAAATTAGGGAAGACAAAAACTTCAGGAGGAGACAACAATTTTTTTTCAGGCAAGGACAAACTATGAATGGTAAACAAAAGATAAGCCACAAGGGAAATTTACAGAGTAGCAAAATATAAACATAAAAACGACCACTCTGTTAATAAAAATAACAAAATTAATAAATACTTTTTTACAATATGGCCGCATGTTATGATATAACTTTTATCATTGCAGTAAGGTTTGTATACCGATAAAAAGAAACACATTATAAAAAAAAAAATAATTATTGCGTATTTTATCGGTTGATGGCAATTAAAATATATTAATAGAATCTTTTAATTGTTAAACGTATTCTCTTTATACGGAAATATGCAAAAATATTCATTATTTACAATACAATAAGCACACACATAGAGATATAGAGATAAATTTAATAATATTATAAAATTTTAAGAGGAGACGCATATTTGAAAGATCACGTTAAATGAAAAGTGGATTTTATTTACTAGTAAAGACGCCCTAACTATTTTTATTTATTTGATTGAAAGAAGCTTTCGGACAATCTCTTCTTCATGTTTTAGTTGGTTGAGGAAGAGCTTGCCCGAAAGCTTCTTATAATAAAGTAAATAAAAATAATTGCAACGTCTTATATGTGTGATTTTTTTTTTTTTAATTTTCAGTTTATGGTTATTAACATATAAAAGCAGATACTGATATTTTCTATTAGTTTGTTAAATTTGATATAAGCATCCCCACAAATGGTGTGGTATTGTGGTTCATCGGGGCATCAATTTCACATTAGGTCTGTCCCATACCATTCACATCCAACGCCTTTCTCCCCACAAAAACGACGTTCCTAGAATCTGGATTTCTTCTTTTCTACAGAAAAAATCTCGCTCTATAAGTATTGATTTTTATAAATTCGTTTAAAACATGGATTTGACCAATATTTTAGATGTGTGTATATATGTTACATAAAGGTATTAGTTAAAATGTTATCTTATTTTAAATATATTTCATAGATTCAAATATTCTGTTAAGTCAACCACCAGAGGTCTCGCTTTGTTTAAATAACCCGTTGTTGTTTCCCGATGGCCGGCTAAAACCTTTGTAAATTATGTGAATAAGTTTTGTTTTTCCATGTTCTACTCGCCTTAAGACAGGCAGAACTTTTCTCTAATTGTGTTTATATTGATGAGCAAAATTAAAGCAATAATGATCTGAACTATTTTTAGCATTATTACCACGACTGCAAAACAATATCGTAAAATATTCATGGATACCAAAATCAAGCAACAGATAATAATTCTGTATATTTCAAAATATTCCAAAATCAGCAGAAAATCTTCTTATTTATAATATATATATACAGTATAACCTCCCTTTAGCGGGCATCCCGCTAGCGGACACCTCTCCACAAAGGACAGTTTCCATTTGTAAAATTACCATTTTTACAATTTAGTAGCTCTCCGGTAAGAGAACACCTATCCCTAAAGGACACTTTGGCTCTGAAATTAGGTGTCCTATATACAGGGAGGTTCTACTGTATACACTATATTGAAGTTTTACAATCTTTAAGAGATATTTAAAATAATACAATTTTTTCAATATCTGTAAAAAAATATAAATTATTACAGACTTAGTTGATACCGGTTAGCTTTTAAAATTCATTGTTTATTCACATCTATTATTTTTGTAAACTAAGAATAATATATATGTGGCGACCACACTTTGCTTCAGTGAGCGCGAACTGGGACAAAGCTTCACTACACATATGGGCAGTAGTGTGGCGCAATCACTAGGCATGCGCGGGCGGCATCCGGGACTCTGGCCACGCGCGTCGTCAACAACAAGGCTTGCTTCCAACGGCCGTTACTTCTTTTCTCTTTATATATTTCTGGTATGAATAAATTGATTTATTTTATAAATTCAATTGCCATCTATCGATAAAATTTGTAACAATTATTTTTTTCTGGCAATGTGTTTCTTTTAATAATAAGAAAAATATATAGAATATATATAATAAAGATAATATTTGATGATATTATGAAAAAGAAACAAATTACCAGAAAAATTTAATTGTTACAAATTTTAAGAATATAACCAATTCTGACAGTTTGTGTTCATTACATTTATGGACATACATCGGACCTGGAGGCTGTTGTTGGGTGCTGCGCTGCCTAGAGTACAGGAGCTCCATTTATGTTTCCTTTCTTTATGTGGTGAATCTGTATAAGACCGGTGGTCTTAATAAAGCTTTGTGTGTGTATTTATACGAAAGCATCAATCCGTTTGAGAAATATCTCTTGCTCAAGAAAAAAAAATTGTTCATAAGTGTCGAACAATAATACAAATTTAGAGAAGAAAAACTCTCTAGTTATACAAGTATACGTGTATATTAGTAGCCTAGTGGACATGGCATCTGCCCGGTAAGCGGAACACTGTGGGTTCGATTCCCATCCCTGGACACTTTCATTTTTCCGTTCATCGTTACTCTTCACAATTCATCCTTTCATACTTCATCCCTAAGGTTAGAAATAATCGTTATTTCTCCTTAAAATAAATTTCGATTTTTGGTTTAAAAGAAACATTTGCGGTATAATTGTCAAACTTCGTTCTACAATCATATAAGCCGCTGTATTATTAATGATAAATCTGTTGCATTCTGAAATTTGCCTGAATGAATCTTCAATTCACCTATATCGTGTTTTATTTGGTAATATGGCTCCTTCTTTATCATGACCACGATGTTTTTAGTTACTACTGTCAATGAGAAAAATAAAAATAAATCTTTCACTTAGGGATTACTAGAGAATATAAAAGAGGGTCAGAAAATTCAACGACAAATTATCAACAAACATTTCACAGATATATCTATGAGATAAAGCGAATTTATTTATATAAAAAATACACTTCCTTAATTCTGCGTGGAAAACACTCAACGCCGCCTCAAGGGTCTTAGAGGAGGATTGTTTAATTATACAAAGTGAAATATTCAAATTTTGTTATCAATTTTAATTAACGTGCTTTTCTCTCAAAAGAATTCTATTTTCTAAAATGTAAAATTCATTTCGGGAATTGAATCAATTCGTACATTTACTTTATTAACAACATTCTTGAAGTATTCATCTATTACATCAAAATATTGGAATCTTAATCTGAATAGAAAATGTGGGGATTATGTAAGATAACTATTTCTATGAAAAATGGACACTTCGGCCAGTTAGAGTTTTTTATTTTCTCAACGTTTCGACAAAAAACTTTTGTCTTCGTCAGGAGAAGTAAATAAAAATAAAGCATTAGTTCTCAAAGAACAATTTTTAACGCCTTGCCAAATGATTCATTTTTATTTACTTTTCCTGACGAAGACAAAGGATTTTTGTCGAAACGTTGAGAAAATAAAAACCTCCAACTGGCCGAAGTGTCTATTTTTCATATAAATATGAATGCCGGCCAGGCAGCCTCTATCTTAAAGATAAGATAACTATGTTGTGTTCTAAAAATAACACAAGAAGTTTTAAGATAATATTTAATAGAGTGACATCACGTTAGGCGAGATTATCACTGATGCAATCAGTAGAATTATATCAGGAGACTGTGAAGGATGGTTTGCTCGTATTCATAAAAATTGTTTCCTGGCCACACAAGAACACCCGTTTATCCAATAAAATCTGTTTCTAATTTATTTCGTGGTTATTTGATCCTATATTAGTGTTTTGGACTTAATGTCAAATGTATTTAATTAATCTTTATGATATTGTCTTTTGATTTTTACATATAACAATCTTATTTTTAAAAGTGACAAATTCACTCTTAAAATGCTATAAAAATGCGATAAAATGCATCCATGATCTCTATGAATATAGTAATGTATATTTTGATCATTTATGAGCATTTAACTCAATAGTATTAATTTTTTTGCTTATCCCTAGTACACGTGGTACAGGCCATGATAATGGTGGGTAAGAGGTAGGCGACTGCTTTAAATGTAAGTGCACCACATGTCTACACATGTGAAAAGCAGTTCGACTTTGCACTTACAAATGTGCTAGAGCCCCGTTTGGTTACTTGCACTCGCTGGTCTCTTTCAGGTCTATATTCCGAATATTCGGCTAGTTATTTATAATATTGAGATATCTAGGGCCATTGTAGACGAAGGTTCATTTTAATAATAATTTTATAATCATATTTTTCTTATCATTATTTTCGGTTTCAGACGAACATGACAACGCAATTATATTAATGAAGCATGGATCTATATAAAGTTACCTCTCCCGTTAAAATAGGCGTACAAAATAGGCGCCATCTATTGAACGTCTTTGCAAACTTAACTGAATCGGGTCAGTGACAAGGCTACAATACCCGCCCTTGGAGTGACGAGAGCCATTAGCCTGAAACCTGGTCTCCAGGTGGGCGTCCTGAATTCTCCAAAACTGATGTTGTGGCTTTGTCATCGACCTGATTCTGTTAGTGTGCAGATACGGTCAATAGATGGCACCTAGTTTGCGTCTATTTTGACGATTGAGGTGGTCTTTTATTTTTATAGATCAATTATATTAATTATGAATAATAATCACTATTATAATTCACAATATTAAATTTCATTTTTGAAGTATGGTTGGTGAATATACAAGTAGAATATACTTGTATTTATAATTAGTTTGATAAATAATCATATAATTTTGACCTTTATCTAACACAATTTCATTTTCACTATAAACAATAATTCTAGTAATGATATTAATACTAGTTAGTAAATATATATATATATTATGAAACTATTTTAGAGGCGTGATATTCTTTTTAAAATAAAACAATTTCTACTGTCCTTACTGCGATGGAAAAATTAAAGGGAGGGCCTGGCTCATCAGTGGTGAATCCTCCCAGCGGTTTCGCCAGTTTAATCTACCATACCGCTGTTATATTGCATTTTTGGAACTTCCTTTTATAAGTGACTGTTGTAAGACTCTTGGAATGGGTATTTTAGAAGAACTATGGACATAAGCTTTTAGGACAGCAGAATTATGAGCTGAATGAACTGATGAGCCAGGCCCTCCCTTTAATTTTTCCATCGCAGTAAGGACAGTAGAAATTGTTTTATTTAAAAAGAATATCACGCCTCTAAAATAGTTTCATAATTTGATAACAGATGGCGCTCTAGTACATCGTAACATATATATATATATATGTGGTATATTTAAATGGATTCAAGTATCATTGTGTGAGACAATTGTTCTGTTGTAGAATAAATCAGCCTGTTTATCAGTGATCCAAAAAAATCAATAAAAATCTATTTGCCCTAAAATTATTTTTCAATTCACTTTTTTTATTTCTCGAATTCAATTTTAAAAATAAATATATATGTTAAAATATATTATTTTCGTATATATACGTGTAAAAAAATAATATTCACAGAGTAAATATATCATTAAAAAATATGAAATTAAATTAATTTTAGTGTATAAAAAAGATAATATAACAAAAAACAAAACAAATGTTATATAAATAAAGAAAGAATTTATATCATTGATGTCAGTTGTACATTTAGTGTGACAAAGTCAGTGATAATAATTATCCGGCAGAAGAATAAATCGGCGTGTTTATCAGTGAGCAAAAAGACAATAAAAATCTATTGATTCCGATGATTACTTTTATTCTCGGTAGAATATTGCCATCAATAATCAATAGTGAGGAGAAAGACAAGAAAAGACGCATATTACTGCTCAGTCCCGTTGGGAAATTTTTATAACATCATCCTCCAAGATGCACTCCGCAATAATTTTGGTCCTCTTTCTATCTTTTTTTCTTCTTTCTTCTGAAGCTTCATCTGTTTCATGTGGTTTCTACATTATTTATAGGGTAAATTTCTCCATCCATCCCGGGAGAACAAGAATATCTCTAAAAAATGAAGGAACCTTTCACATAGAAAGTCTTAAGTTCCCTTGGGTGTGATCAGAAGAAGCTAATGTTAAGAGATAATTTTTCTCTTCAAGTTTTATTTGAATTACAATGTCTCACAATAATATCTATATAATGGTGAAGTATTATTTAAGTCTAGGGGTAATCGTAAAAAGGAATTTATATAGTTATATACACATATTGTGTGATAAATACAGAATAGAACTATAAATATATGTTTTTATATATGTTTCTGCTGTTCTTAAAACTTATATATCCATTTGAATTGCCCTTCCTGCCTTAAATACTCGTTTATTGATTTCTCAGGATGCCACAAAGAACATTTCTTTTTGGTTCTTCAGGTAAAACTTGCACTACGCTGATGAGAGCCAACAGCCCGAAATTCGTACGTGGTTAGCTTTTCTTTATTAATCAAGAAAGAGTATTGACTCAATTCTGGAATTTAAAAAATATCAACAAATAGTTAATATTTATTCCGACAGATGGCGCAAACCATCAGCAACTTTTAGTCGCACGATTAGGAGATACCTTTCTCTTAATTACACTCATGGACAAAACTTAAGGAAGTGGAAATTCTTTGATTTTTATTGTAGTTGTTATTTTGAAGGAGATAGAGGCAATTTTGTTCACACTGTTTATCTTGTGTGTCTTCAATAAAGGTCGCTGTAATATATTTCAGAGTAGTTATCTGAATCCCGATATACACTAAAAGTTACAACTTTCTTAAGTTTTGTCTCCATGAGTGTAAATTTTATTGTATTCTAAATTCCTTCAAGAAGATGAAGTTAATGATTCTTCTAGCAAATTCGAATAGGTTCAGGGCCTGTTAGCTCTAGTGCCACTGAGTATAATTCAATACAATAATTTCTTGTATCAATATTGAGTAAAATTAATCAGGGCTTCAGGGAAAAGTATATTTTCAAAACATTTTTATTCTCTAGCTTTCAGGCACGGACGCTTTCAACAGGTGAAAACTTTGTATAATTTTATAATATCAATACATTATAGCAAGTTTTATCCTGTAGAAAGGCGTATGTACCCGAAAGCTAGAGAATAAAATTGTTTTGAAAAGACACTTTTGCCTGGAGGCCTGATTAATTTAACTCAACATTCAAGGGCGGGGAAGATGACTAAGAAAAGTTCTACATAGCTAAGAAGTTTCAGAGCTGCTACCAAATAACTCCACAAGAACTAACACGAGAATCCGTGGTAAATCCATGTATAGCAACTTTCTTTGCCTCCAATTTGCCCAAATTAATCTATTAGCTTGATTGTCTTTATATAATTTTCTCTGTATATAAATTTTATGTTACCATTAAGTTCTATCATTGTTTTCCCTGCATGTGTCCTATATTTCTGCTTGGAGAATCTGTATAAGACTAAAGGGTCTTAATAAAGCTTTTGTTGTTGAATTTAACTCAATACTAAGTATAATCCTAGACTTGGAGGTCTAACGAGTATTGTACTTTGTATTACGATGCACGTGTGTGATATTACAGCTATGTGAATGAATGCTGCACACATGTAAAGTTGTCAATCGATAGCTGCGCA